CACCACATAAAAAGGATAACTAATTAAATACTTGCTAAGGCAATAAATATCAATTGATTTTAAATCCAATTCTGTATTCTTTATATTTGCATCCCTCATTGGTATGGAAATTTCATGTCTTCCTTCAGGTATCCTTGAAGCATCCACTTGACCATCTACTTCGGACAAACACATTAAGAACTGCCTTTATGAGTGGACTTGAGAGACAAATCAAGTATCTTAGGAAAATCATGACATAGAGTGTTTATCAAATTCAATGGATACACAAGCCCTCAACTCAACCTCTTTCGTTCACTTGATTGGAACTATCTCCCAAGCAACACAAAAAGATCCTTCAGAGGACTCCAGGTCACAGTGCTTTATCCTGTCTATTACTCTCAACAAAAGGCAACTGGAATGACGATAGAAACTGATACCACCTTCAACATGCACCAGGTAAGATGTCAGAACATCTTATAAGCCACCATGCATAACAATAGCATCATTATCAGCAGCAGCGGATGAAAGCTCATTGAGCACTCAGTCAACCATCAGTAGTTGTCAGGCCTGATTCAGAAAACTAACTTCCTAGCTTCCAATCTCCTTAAGGACAATAGAATGGATGATCTGATCACACAAACTCCTTCCTTGCTCAAAATACCAGAAAGTATATTTCCTAGAACTCATCTAAAAACAGAACATGATGCCTGCTCTGATACCAATTGAAATTCTGGTATATAGATCACAGATGTCCTAAGAGATGTCGAGACATTGATCTCTGCTACAAACTAAATAAGGATAGAACATAAACATTTTATTCTCTTAAACTCAAGAACACTTTGAACCTTCAAGGTCAAAATAGTGTCATGACAGATGTTTCAACATCTGTCAAAACATATACTTCAGATCAAAATCACATACTGAACAAAACATAATAGAATGAAAAATAACACAAGATACGATGACCCAGTTTGATGCAATTCACCTACATCTAAAGGCTACCAAGTCAGGAATGAATTCACTATTAACACTATTAATTTATAGCTAAACTCCACCATTTACAACTCCTCACTTAGTCACTACCTAGTACAATTCTATCTAGAAATTACCATTTAGATAAAAGAACCCCATCTCAATTACTAAATCACCTCAGTGATATCTAATAGTTGCAATCTCCAGCAACTGCATCAGACTGTTCAATTGAAAGACATTCCTTCCAATATAATATTAAGTCAAGACTCTTGACTAAAAAACATGCATGAATTTTCTTAAAAGCTTCACCCAAGAACAATACACAATTCATTACCTACAAGTTTCTGAATCTATAAAACTATGTCTATCATAATGTATTAATCGATACAAATGGTGACTTACAACACAAGAAAGTACACAACTCTCAAAACCATAAACCCTTATTTTCTACTTTACAAAAGTCTTAATAAGAATTCTTATTCTAACCTAGGTCTTGATCTTCCTTTTATAGCCTTCAGCTGTCCATGGGCTTCGAAGTTTCTGTTTAATCTTCCCTTGACCCATGTTCTGATTGCTCCTTAAATCTTGGACTAGATCTGCAACAAATTTGTTGTACCAGATTAGGATGTCCAGTCCACAATGGTAGGACATTTTGACTGACATGTCTTCCTTTAGCAGATTTCTTCTTGTTGGAACATCTTGTGCAACATCATGTTTTACCAAAATTTTAGTTAAATCTTTAGAGCCTTCAGTTGATGTATTGTTAGATGAGATGTTGTTGCATATGATGTTAATGATAATTGAGACGGTGTTACATATGATGTTAATGATAATTGAGACGGTGTTACATATGATGTTAATGATAATTGAGACATGGTTGCATATGATGCTGATTATAATTGAGATGATGTCGTGTATGATATTGATGATGAATTAGGTGTGAGAATGTTATATGTTATTATGCATTATTGTGTATATGTTGTACTCTATTCTTCATTTTATACCAATTATTATTGAAATTAATTCTCATTACTTCTGTTTGAATGTTGCCTTTACATAGACATTGTACAAATACTCATGGAGTTGCTTTTTAATTTAGCACTTTATTTAGTATTATCTTTCTCTGATCATGTAACATCGGGTTGGAAACGCTTGCTTTAATTTTATGATATGTTCATGTTGAAGTCGTAAGACTAATTTTTTTATGGTGCATTCTTAAGCATGTTGAGAGGATTGATTATAACTCTCTTATTTGTTATTAAAGTTGAATTTTGAGACCAAATGGCATTACTTACCTTATTTTCCATATTTTTTGATGATATTTCCACTGTGATGATACTTTAAAATGGAGTGAGCATGCGATGACATGTTTAATATGAATTGATGTAACCTATGCTACGTAGCAGGATTTGTTTTTTGATGTGTGTGACACCCTTGCGGTTGTGATTTTAATTAAATTATGCGATGATTGTATATGAGATTTAGAAGGGTGTTACATTTGTGCTAAGAGTAAAGTCTCTCGCTTGTGGGAGTGGATATGAACCTTTTAGGTAGGCTCGATTGAGGTTTTTGTTGTCAAAACACATCCTCTTTTTCCAAAAAAAATTCTTGACCAATACGACATTGGATATCCATTAAGTATATCTTACTTCTGAAATAAAGTTGGCAACAAGTAGACCAAACATCGTCCTCATAGTTACTTCTTCATTTTTAAGGGTCGTTGTTTTCTTTATTATGCCATACAATAATCGGATGGATAAATGTTTAATTGGTGACTAGCCAAGCTGGGGTCTATACCGAGCATCTCACTGGGAGAAGTTGTGAAGAGGTCGACATTATCTTTAAGGTATACAATGAGCCTTTTCTGATCACGTACGTAAAATCAACCCATATCTTAACCAATCTATTTGGATTATTATATAGCTTTATAACATCAAAGTTATCTTCTAGAACTTGCCTCAAGGTTTTCGCTTTGGCTCTAGGCAAAGAGCCAAGCTCATAATCTTATAGGGTTTCATCTTCTCGCATGTTAAGGTCGACCATACAGACGGTAGTTCCCCGAGTGATATTCTTTTTCTTTTCTTGGCGACCATATTTACTAAGGGGTTCTTGATTACTATTTAATGTGTCCGATAAGCTACACATAGATCACTTAAGATGACAACAGGTTTTCTGAAATTGTTATGACACTTTACCTTCTGATGGACTGTAGAAGCCATCACATCCAATGTCACGAGGAATGGTCTCCATAAGATGATGTTGTACATATTTTTGAAGGTGATTACTATAAAACGCACATTTACAGTCATTTTGTTCTTTCCTTTTCGACAGAAACTAGTAGTTATACAACCCTAGATGGATGAGTAAGAGAACATTAAAGGCCAAGACATCTTTTCTCTCAAATGGCTTAAGATCCCGTTTTCATAGCCATAAATTGTCGAAGATGCAAAGTACATAATGTTGTAAGAACTCCCATCGTCGATAAGGTTTTCTAGCGTTTAGTGATTTGCCATGGTAGCAGTTATGACTAGTGGAAGCAAAACGTTCGACACTCCATATATTTTCTCACGCTCTTGAAACCCTAAGGTATGTTTGTTTTCTTCTCGCTTCTTAGATACCACTGGTGATCTCGAATAACATCGTAGTTGATGTTTTTCGTTCTTCTCTTCCTTGAAGATAATTCATCGGCGATCAAAGGGATGTCAAGGTAAGGGAGCAATCTTAAAGTTGACAGATTTGTGGTGACTTTAGCAGGTGGGTCAAACATCATTTCCTTCTTTAGATTAAAATCGTAGTAAAGATCCATGACTTTAGGATCAGAGAAGTTGATCGTAAAAATTCATGAGAATCAGAAGTCGATTTCCAAAGATGGTGCCAATGCTTTATGCGGTAACTAGAAATTTGAGGAGATCTCGTGGACTTGAGCTCTGATGCGATAGAGTAAACTCCAGTTACAAAGAAGCAAAAGTGGACCTGCAAGGTTAACACTCCAATGTCAAAGTCAATGAATGAGCGGAAGAATAGTTTGAGTGTGTGAATGAGAGAATACTTATAAAGGCACATGATGGAATTTATATAACATAGACAATTAGAGTCGTTCTTGTGTGATCAAATGCCTCACACCGATGAATATCTAATTATATCTGACGATGGTGAGCATTTCGAGTCTTCAATGCCTTGGCTCACACATTCATAAATTAGGCCCTCTCATGTTTAAGCTTTAACACCCTTGAACATGTGGTCGACTATGAACAAAATTCATTTTATCTATTAATCTTTGTATCTCAAACAATTAAAATATTGTCAGCTAACTCATAAACATGACTATAGCCAAAAATAACTTTCCTTCCTTATCATCCACCAAGTAAAACACTTTATTTTAAATTTATTTATATTAATTAAAATTTTAAATTAAATTTTAATTAATTTTTTTCTCCTAGTGCCATAATGATTATTTTAAACTTTTTGATACGCTTGTATCGTAAGTTTAGAATCATTTACCCATTCTAAAAAAAAGTCCATTACATAAATATCATTTCTTTTATCCGAATGAATTTTGTAATTTTTTTTCATATATATAAAACAAAGGAGATTTCGTTAAGAATAAAGAGGTGACAGTACATTATATGAAAATAAATAAAAAATAATAAAAGGAAAAGAAGAAAAAAAAATGTTAAAAGAGGTGTTCCGAGAATTCCATTCCAACTTAACAGAATTGACTGCGAGGATTTGTTGGCTACTCACCTGCTCACCCAAGAAAGAGTTGCTATTTTTTCGGACGAAACCTGACATTTTCGTACTCACCACCACACCATAACCAAAACCCTCACTCACTGAAATATTCATATTCACTCACTCACACTTTCGTTTTTCATCTCTCACCATATACAACAAATCTTAATCATCACACTCAAATACTGCGCTACACAACACTGCCTTCTTTTAACCGACCACTACCCTGCACATTTTCTGTTCTAATCTCTCTCTTGTTTGTTACTTTTCTTATTCTTTCTCTCAGTTTTTGAATCAATCAACCCTTTGAATCATCAATGAACAATACAACTGATCAATGGTTCAGGATGAAAAACGACAACCCTGATCCTCCTATTACCACTGTTCCATTGCTCCAACAACAACAACATCAATCTTCTCGATTGTCGTCTCTTCTGCATCAATCTTCTTCTCCTTCAAATGGCTTTACTTCATGGGGTAATGACCTCATCATCAACAACAATAACAGCAACAACACCTGGAATATGAATCATCATCGTGATCATGAATATGATCATGATTATCATCGTTTGTCTCTTAACCTTTCTGCTATCACTCTTTCCGATGAAGATCATCATCAACCTAACACCACCACCAACAACAACACCAACAACAATGTTGCAAGAATCCGAGGTAGGAATGTTGTTGACTCAAACATCAACATCAACCACGTCCCTGGTATTTGGGAAACTCATGCATACAGCAACAACAACAACATTGTTGAAGATGAAACAGTGACAGCAACACCCCCAACAAACAGCCCACGTTATCCAAAATCACTTTTTGGGGTTTCATCACCTTCACAAGGTTTACTCTCTGATATCAAATGGGGTAAGCAAAAAGGTAACACCTTTGCTGGAGTATCTCAAATGGGTTCTTCTATTGGTCTTGGAAATGGAATAGGAAACACTGTTTCTTATGGTCATTATTATGGACATGGGAGAGGTAGGGTTGTTCCTGTTCAGCTGCAAAGCTCATCTTATAACAACCCTTATGAACAACAACAGCGTCTTGTGTATTCTTCACCAAGGTCATCTTTTGCAACTGAAAATGATTTTCCAACAAATCCTATCATGTACAACAACGCTCCTTCATCACCATTTTATTATCCTTCTAATAGCCATTTTCAGCTTCCTCAAACTCTTTATCCTACTACACCTATTGAGGAACCACTGGCTTTTAAATGTGATAATAGTTTCATTCTTCAAGAGAAAAGGGACTGGAATTCATTCTTCGGTGGTGCTACTGCTGCTTCTAAGCATCCTTACTCACAAGGGAGTTTGGGAGTGATTCCTCAAATTTCTCATCATTTTCCTATTAGAACTGAAAACACTCGTGCTTTTGCAACCGATGATGATGTGCAACAACATCATACTCTACAGAGTTACATGATTCATACAGCAAAGGATCAGAATGGTGGTCGACAACTGCAGAAGCTGGTTGAGGAAGGGTCTGTTGAGGATAAGGAAATCGTGTTTAATGGTGTTATTGACAACATTGTTGAGCTTATGATGGATCCTTTTGGGAACTATCTTGTTCAGAAGTTGCTGGAGTTTTGTAGGGAAGATCAAAGGTTGCAGATTGTTCATATGCTGACTAAGGAACCTGGTCAGCTAGTCAGAACATCCTTAAACACACATGGGTATATCATTGTTCTTTTTACCTAATATTTTTGACATTCTAAGATTTTGATACATTGATATTAATGATAATAATGTAAATATTTCAGTACAAGAGTGGTTCAGGTGCTGATTTCAACTATCAAATCAAGGAAGCAAATTGCATTGGTGAGGACAGCAATTCAACCTGCTTTTCTTGAGCTGGTTACGGATCTGAATGGAAATCATGTCATACAACGTTGCTTAACATGCTTTAGTGTTCAAGATAATGAGGTATATATACCACTTTTTTAAAACATGTGTTACTTTTAGTTTATTGTAGACCACAATTAGCGGTTCTTTTATGTTTATTAATTGAATAATTAGCATCTATCTATATGGAAATTCATTATTGATAGTATCATAGTTTTTTCAATTTTCTGAATTTCACTCTTTTGTTCTCTCCAATATGATCCAGACTGATACTGCTGTTTCTGCGATTTGCATATATATTTTAAAGCATATGTCTTGTGGCATTCTCTTGATAGTTTGAAGAACATATATTGGTGAAACTGTTTGACTTGGATTTTTGTGTATTTGATTGAAATTAATTTGAAAGTTTGTTGATTTTCGTTCTCCTCTATGATATATGACAGTTTATCTTCGATGCTGCGGCGAAATACTGTCATGATGTTGCTACTCATCAACATGGCTGCTGTGTGCTTCAACGGTGCATTGATTATTCAAAGGGAAAGAGTCAAGAAAGACTTGTCAGGGAAATCTGCAAACATGCCTTAAATCTGGCTCAAGATCCATACGGGTAACTCTAATTGCTTATTTACATCTATATATGTGTGTTTTCATAACAAACTAGTCTTAATATATTACAATATGTTAGAAGAAACAAGTTAATTGAAAATTTCTATGTATAAGTTTTTTTTATTAACAAAAACTGAACCATTAGAGAGCTTATAGACAAAAGCTAAACCAAACATACCTTAATATTTATGCATATCTCAAATTGATGCTGTAAATTTGTATGCTAGCTAATCAAGATAATACATTCAATCATTGTTTTTCAGAAACTATGTTGTTCAGTACATTATACAGATGCAGATTCCAAGTGCTATAGCCAAGTTGACTGCTCAATTCAGAGGAAACTATCTAAGCCTCTCTACTCAAAAATTCAGCAGCCATGTAGTTGAAAAGTGCATTACATATATTCCAGAGAATAGAGCAAGGATTGTCCAAGAACTGGTGTCTATTCCTCGCTTCGAGGCTCTGCTTCAAGACCCGTATGGAAACTACGTCCTTCAGTGTGCCCTTGACTATACTAAGGTATAAATTTTACACGATCTCACACCCACAATGAGTGTTTTGATCATTTGTAAATCATCCTAATTGTTTTAACTCTTGATGCAGGGCTCCTTGTTCATATCTTTGGTTGATGCAATCAAAGCACACAAACACTTGCGCACGAGCCCGTATTGCAAGAGAACATTCTCAAAAATCCAGATGAAGAAGTGATGTCAGTACTCAAAACATGTTTTGTTGTTGTTGTTTCTTATCAGAATTCTCCTAGTTGCATCCAATTAGTTTCTATGTGTAACTTAGCTAGTAAGTCTAGCATAAAAAAACTTAAATTATTAGCCTATTACTAGTATTTGTTGTTGTGTATGTGTCTTCAGACTCCGAGCTTCCTGTAACGGGGAATTGCAGCGACCATATATACTAGAGAACATTGTGGTGCTCATCAGTTGAAAACAAGTTTGCAATTTTCCGTTGAAGCCAGAGTCTGGATGAATGTGTTTTTAGTTTTTAGTGCTTATTATGGTTATGTAATGTGGAGTTGTTACCTTATGGATGTGTTGTGTGTGATGCATCCATGATGATGGTATTGTTATGAAGGTTTGTAGAATGTGTACTTTTTCCTGGATGTTGCTTTGGGAAAAACATTTTGTTCCAAGACTGGGGATAATGTACTTTTTGAATTCTAGTTAATAAAATTAGGAGATTTTATGAATTTTTGTGTGGTATAATGATGGTTATTAGTTTATTTTAAAGTCATATAATATTATGGTTTGATAGTAGAAGTTGTTTAGAGAAAGTAATAGATGTGAATATTTTAATTTTCAAATTCAACTACCTTTTGGCTGGAACTGAAACATGAATTAAGAAACAGCATGACAGTGTATTAGAATGAATATGTATGAGATGGATATGCATTAAGAAGCCTTTCTTTGATTCCAGGTATATTTCGGAATCACTTTTGGGTTTGGCAAATTTACTTTATGTTTCTATTGACTAAAATGTAATTTGACTGTAAATTTGTTTCTTTGATTTATGAACTCAGAATTTATTTTAGTTTCAAAATTTACTCAATCCAGAAGCAAATATTTTTCCCTTTTTGCAATAACATGACACATATTCCGAATTTTTTTTTAAAGTAGCAATGTTATAATTTTTATTTACCAAACAAAATAATGTTTCAATTAATTTACGAAAATGGCAAGGTTTTGAAAGGTGGAAACAGTCATTCGCCAGATGAATTGGCGAATTAGGCAAATCCCATTTCAACAGATTCGCCAGATGAATTGGCGAATTAGCCAAACCATAACAAACTCGCCACATGAATTGGCGAATTAGCCAAACCATAACAAACTCGCCACATCATTTGGCGAATTAGTATAACTTTATTTTTTGTTTTTTTTTTCTTTTTATATTATGATTTCATATTTTTAAAGTTTAAAAATTTATTTGTTTTTAATTATTATTATTACTAATTTAAGTTTAATATATTAATTTATAATATAATTAATTTATAATATAAGTTTAATTTTAATTTAAGTTTTATTTTTAAAGTTTAATTTTAATTTTAACTTTAATATAAGTTATAATTTTAATTTAAGTTTTAAAATATAAAATATTTTGATTATTATTTTGAATTTTTTTTTAAAATAACCATGTTAATTAATTATTTAATATTTTAATATATTTTAAGTAGAAATTATTTAAATAAAGTTAAATTTGATTCAAAATAATTATTAATATAAAGTTGAAATGTAAAAAAATATATGATTAAACATAGAAATTTAAAATTAAATTTGATTGACTTCCTAATTAAAGTTACAAAATATTGAACATTACGATAAAATGAAAATTACAATATAATTATTGTCCGGCTCTATCTAAGTGACCACCAGTGCCACACCGGGGGGGTTGTGCGTTGCGACGAGGTCGACGACTAGGTTGCTGCGGTGTTTCTGGTCGTTGTGTGTTGGCATTTGGAGGAGGGTTTTGCTGGGAGGGCCCCGGGATATCATAGAGATTTTGCATCATTTGGCCCCAATAACCGGAAGGTCCACTGTCAACTGCGCTTCCGTAATCAAGCCCGACGCCCATGTTTTCGAATGAGTGTCTGGCAGGTTGGGTGGAGTATGGACGGTATGGTTGTCCGAAGGCGTACATTGAATTGGGTTGGGATGGTTGTGTGGGCTGTTGTGGGGTTTCGTAGTCGAATAATGGGTAGTTGGAGGGATAGTTGGAGGGGTAGTTGGAAGGGTGGTTGGAGGGGTGGTTGGATGGGTAGTTGTAGGGGGTAGGGTTGAAAGAGTTGTCTGGGCTATAATGGTCAGGCTGGGACTGGGTGGTAGGCATGTAAAGGTTTTCAGAAGGTTGATTTTGTTGTGTGGTTGACGTTGAAGCTCGTTGCCTTGGATCAACCAAATACGTTGGCTGGGACAGAAATTGCTCAGATGTTGTGACAGACCTAAACCAAGTCATGTATTGAATACTTGGTCTAGCCCCGTGCACAATCCGGTCGGTTAATATGTAGCGGCTTCTTCTGTCCCATTGCCTACACAACGCCTTGGCAAACTCAGTCCAGCTACTAACACTCCATTGTGAGTCCACTCGTTTTTGATGCCACCGTCCCAGATTTACCGGATCCTCTGGGATATCTTGATGCATCCCAAATTGAAGTTTGACCCGGTCACTTTGGTGCATCTCTATTGTAGTGAACCTGATAATGGGTGTTCGCGAGGTCCACACAGCAACATCATTAGGGTTGGGTTGGTGGTCCAGACCCTCGTACGGCATCCATACAAACTACAATAAAGGTTGATGTGTTTAGTCAGACAGACAAATTAAATGTTATGCATACAACTTAGACAAACTAATGGCAAACAACTTACATCATCTGGCCCCAGGTGGTCGATCAGGTTGCGATATTGAATTATAGAGTGCCGTGGACATCTCTGGTAATTCATGCCGGGAACAGACCACCTAAAAATAAGAAACACATCTAAGTCAGAATCGGAAACACATGTAAGAAAGTATTGACTTGTTTTTTAAATTTAAAAATAAAAAACTTACTTGTTGGCATACGGGAATGTGAAAGGGTTACGGTTGATAGGAGCAAGTGTTGGCATCCTTGACCAACCCCACGCTTGTAGGAGATAGGCACATCCATAAAAAGTACACGCATCTTTTTTCGAAGTCTTGCATAGTGCGCTATACAAATGGGCGAGTACGGCTGATCCCCAACTATATTCAGACACTTTGTTAATATTTTGTAACAACGGTAAATACATTGTATGGACGGTATTTCCGGTGCCCTCCGGAAATAAAAAGTGCCCGAACAGAATCATAATATAGCACCTTGTTTTTATTATTTTTTCATATTCCGTGCTATCGTCATCCAAGACAAGAGAACTGTAGTGTTCTCTAAGGTATTTTAGATTTATGCCCTGACCCCTAGGGCGGCCTCCTCTTTCCGCCTGAGGGTCGTCCTCACATAGAGGGGCGCCCAATAAATCTTTACATAGTTGGTCAGGAACACCAACGTTGCCGTTGACAGCCGTACCATCAATGCGTAGGCCGAGCAACATGTAGACATCTTGGAGAGTCACAGTGCACTCACCGAAAGGTAAGTGAAATGTATGCGTCTCTGGTCTCCAGCGTTCTAACAACGCTAGAATAAATTTCATATCAAGAGAATATGATTGGATTTTTAGAACATGACCAAACCCACAATGATGAAGGTAACCCGTCGTGCGTGGGTCGTGTGGTACATAATCATGTACACGACAACGAAACCTTGAAACATCCTGCAAAGAAATAAATGTTTCGTTAGACAAGAAGTGCAAAGTTATAAATAATTATGGTTTGAGATGTATGACTTGTAAACTTACAAACTCAGCAATATTTTCGAGTGTCCCTCTGTGAGATTCTCCCATTGTAAGTAGAGACATTGTTGCGATGTAAAAAAGGTTTGAGATGTATGAGACAAAGAGAGTATGAGAGCTAGAGAGGTTTGAGTGGTTGAGACTTAGAAAAATTGGGAGTTTGAGAGTATGAGAGCTAGAGAGGTTTGAGTGGGTGAGACTTAGAAAACTTGGGAGTTTGAGAGTTTGAGACAAAGAGAGTATGAATGTGTGAGTGTATATACCCCATATTTATATTCAAAGAGTGGATATGGTTTAAATGCATGCTTGACACTTGGCGTGACATATGTGTGTTTTGTTATTGCATGCTGAGCACCTTGAAGGTATTATTTTTATTATTATTAGTATTAATATTTTTATTAGTGCATGCTGAGCACTTGGCGTGAGGCAGAACTTTTATGAGTGCATGCTGAGCACTTGGCGTGACATGTGAGTGCATGCTGAGCACTTGGCGTGAGGCAGAACTTTTATGAGTGCATGCTTGACAAATTACTAACAAATTTTTTAAATGATATTGTATTAGATGTTTTAGTATGTTGATTTAGTAAAATTATTTAAATTAACTAGACTAATGTATTTAAATTTACTAGACTAATCTATTTAAATAAATATAAACAAAGGAGTTATTTTTATTATTATTAATATCAATATTATTATTATTAATATTAATATTATTATTATTAATATTATTATTATTATTATTCATATAAATATTATTAATATTATTGTGAAAAAGGAGATTCCCTCAGTGTAACGTCTAATCAAACAGACTGCATGGCATTTATTGTAATGCAATGTATCAACGCAGATGCTCGTAGGCCTGCATGGTCAATGTAGGGATGCAGATCACATTTTAAAAAACGAGATTCCTTCACTGAAACATCTAATCATATTATATAATATTTTTATTCATCATTTTATATAATATTTTTTTTTCATCATATTATATTATATATTTAATTAAACGTTTTGTGGTTCTTTAATTGCATAAAATAATTTTATTCATCGTAGTGTGATAAATGAACATCACAATTAAAGGCAGAAGTTTGCGTTGTCACTTCACAATTAAACGTTTTGTGGCAGAAGTGCAGGCATGCAGAGATTCCTGAACATCACAATTATGGAGCATGCGTGATAAATGAAAGGCAGGCAGAGATTCTTGACTTGAGCATCACATGTAAATGCAGAACTTTGCATGGTCATTGATTATAGAGTAGACAGGACAAGTGAAAGGCAGAACTTTATCAAACACTCAAACACTCAAACATTGATTATAGAGTAACACGCAAAAACACTGAGCCC